TAGCCTCCTTTTTTGCCTCCTCCTCCTGGTTGATGAACAATTTGTGAGCCACTTGTATGAGTTGAGTGGCAGTCACACCTTCAAACGTTTTCAATTTTGGAAGCTTTCCCCTAATATCTCTTGAAGCCTAACAAAGGCTGTGTTCACTATGCACTAATTTCCTGCTGCTTCTGGATCAAATGGAGTGTAGAGTCAGTATGCCTCATGGAGGCTTTCATAGAACTCACTTGGGCTTTCACCTGCCTTCTGGTGGACCTCAAATTTTTCACATATTCAGGGCCTTCTTCCCTCCAGCCTTGATTCCATTTAGAAGTGCCTCCCCAAATGCTTGCAGGCATTGTAACCCTTCTGCCTCATTGGGGTCATACTGGGGATCTGTCACCAGGTAATGCTCCTTGGGATATAGGCAGGCATCAACTATGCCTGCTGGGACATTTCTCTCCAGGTATTGGAGGGTTGCCTGGGTTACCCTGTGTCACTCCTCTGTGTTAAGCACCATTAACAGGAGCTCCTGACAATCTGCCCAAGTGGAGTTGTGAGTTGAGAAAATGGACTGCATTAGATAGCTTGGGGCTTCTCTGTGTAGGAGGGAGTGTGTTGTTTCCAATTTAGGAGATCAGTGGTGGAGAAGGGCTGATGAGTAAAGAGCCTTTACCCACTTCTGACTTGGCCCTCAGAATCCTGGCAAATCTGTGACCTAGTCTGCTGGAGGGGCATCTGCAAGGCTCGGGGTACAGCCAGACCAGAGTCTACTAGGAGAACTGTCTTTCTCCATTTCCTTAGTTTCTATGGGTATTCCATTCCTTGCCAAGGGGTGAAACTGGAGTGTCACTTTTATCAGAGCCTGATTCTCTTTCTGCTTGTCCTTCACCTTGCCTTAGATTAGCCAGTGAAGGGTATACTGGAATATAGGGAAGTGGATATTCTCTCTTCTCTGGAGGGGGCTGTAGGACTGGTTTTTCCCGCCTTTCTTGTTCTCTCTTCTTCGTGTTCTGGGTAGAAGGCACTGTGATTCCCTTTACTGCACTAGGTTCTGCTTGGGCTGCTAAAGTTTTACAGTATACGGCCTGACAGGGCTGTAGCCACTTGGGGTTTAATTGTACCACATTTAGCTGGGAGTTAATATATGGGTACTGATCAGGGTGTCCAGGTTGTCCTCTGACACCAGTCACTACTCTATACACACGGCCAACTACCTCACGATCTATTGTCCCTTCAGCTGGCCACCCGCATTGAAAAAAGGCCATTCTAATTCACAGAGATTTCTTAGCCTTTGAGGAGTTAGTTTAACCCTGTAATTTCCTCATAATTTTTCTTAAAGTTATTCAGCATACTCTCCAATGGAGTTGGTTTCAGTGCTTTTCCTCCCATCTCTTTCCTTGTGATGCACAGTCACTCAGCCTTTTGGTTCGAGGCAGACCAATTTGGGTTCCACTACAGGACCTTCTCGTGCTGCTTAGCCAGGAGAGTACCTTAATCTTTCTATGACAGCTGCAGTCATAGGGCAGCTCCTAGTGGCGATAGGTGGAATTGCCCTAGATCTGGTTAATTTCACACTGTGGAGCACACAGGCCACCCTAAGGGATCTGTGTCTCCCCAAGTCACTCCCTGCGTTGGTTCCTCCAGGAACCGTCTCTTTAACACACTTTCACACGTCTTCCCTTCCCAGTTTCTGCCTTTCCTTTTCTATGTTGGTGGGTATGTGAGTTTCATCTGAATCGCGAGTGGCCCTCACCTCCCCCATTCCTACTGGGTTGGATTAATAATCACTTCCCTGGAGCTGATCAGGTTCCAGTTAGGTGAGTTTCACTCAAATAAATGACTAGCAGCTCTGGCTTCCCCTAGCCCTACTAGGTCGGGTTACTAGTTACTTCCCCGGAAGTCACTTCCCTGGAAGGTGGTTGAAGCTCTGGGCCTCCTTTCGTTTTCTTCAAGCCGCAAATGTCTTACCACAGTTCCTGAAGTGTGCTGATCCTAACATCACCCAACAGCCTCTTTCCGGTTCTGTTGCTCTGTCTAGGGAGAGCACCGGAATTCAGGAGAGCTGATCTTCTTCTTGGGGGAAGTCTCCCAGTGGCGCCTAGGGTCTCGGGTCTCCCTCAGCTCTGGGACCTGGCCCCACAGGCAAAGGAGACAGCAAACCTGTCATCTCCATTCCCAGATGGGCTCCCAGAAATGTTGCAGAATTTCAGACACTGGAGAGACCGTTGAGGTTGCAGAAGGAGTTTTAGGTATATACTGGCAGAGCTCAATTCGCATCCAAAATGGCTGAGCCCCTAACAAAGACAGGACTTGACTTTTATCCATGAAGTACACTGGCGCTAAAAACAAGTTTTCAGGTGCAGAAGAAAGGCAATTTATCAAGCAATGACAGGCACCTAACTTAGTGAACATGTAGGTTGCATAGCAACAGTCATATGTAAGCCTATCTATAGAGCTCAAGGATTCTAACACAGGCCTTATCTACTGCCCTCTGCTACCGCACCTAGAAGGCTGGGGTCTAGGCTGCTTGGGCATTTCTTATGACCTTTGCTGTGTTACAGAAACTTAGTTATCAGCTGTAGAGAACAAGAATACAAGAATTTATAAACTTATAAAACTTGGAAAGCAGGATATACTTCTATGGGAGGGGGAAAGACTCAGGGAAATTTGCTTATGGAAGAAAGATTTAATTTCTATTCCTCTTTCCTGCATTAATTTTATTTTTATATTATGTTGTTTTTTCCCCCTCTTCAGTATCTTTGATTTCTTTAACTTGTCTTTCACTTCAGTAAATAAATTTCAACTCACAATCTTATACTGTATGCTCCTACAAAATTCACACTCTTGAGTTTACCTCAATAAATAGCACCTATATGAGTGCTTCTGCTGCCATATATATTCCTACTATGGGTATTAAACATTCACAGAACCTTATAATACAAATAACTAGAACAGGGACTCTTAAAAGCTCTTTCAAAGGTCTCGTGTTTAAAATTTGTTAAATTCAAAATAAAATGTTAAGCAATCTGCTACATAAATAAAGGCCTTGTAATAGATAATGACCATTAACAACTTTTAAAGCCATATTAGTAAGACTGGTGTTTCAGTCGGAGATAAGGCTTTTCCTTAAAAACGTGAAAGACTATAAAAAAGGATGAAACATATTGAGGGCCTGCACCAACTAAGCAATGCCATCTGGCATAAATACTATTGAAATTAATTTTTTAACCTAAGAAGAATTTCATTTATATTATAAAAGGCAAGATTATAAAAGTAAATATTTTAACATTTAGGTATATAATGTGCATTTTACTAAGAATCTGATTAATGTAAAAAGTTAAAGGCTATGATACACATATATGAATTTGACTATTGTAGTTTCTCAATTCTCTCAGTCATTTTGAAATCTAGTATCACTCTCAGAATTATGAAACACTTAGTAGCTAGTTATCTTGATAACTGCAACAAACTAAAATGTGAGAGTAAATATGCAGTATTTCTGATAATCATATTTAACTTTTTTTTCTTAAATCAAGCTTATCTCATGAAACCTAGTCTTTTGTTTGGTTAATCCTGCTGACTTCCTTTTATTCTGATATATAGCAAACTGATTCTTAGTAAATTATGCCCCCAAATTAGAGAAACTTCTATTATAAATATTAGAAAACTTTCCTGAGAAATAATTTGAATACCAGAATTAAGGTGGGATACAACAGTGTTCATTAAAGACAGTACAGTGATTGATAGCAGTTGTAGGAAGCATTTCTTAAAAACTGGAAGGTAAGCTATCATAACATCCCTAAGCCAATGTGTGTGTGCCCCCATTTCTTTGTTTAGGTGACAATACAAAAGAAAATCACTTCTGAATATTTACATTAGTATTTCAATTTGGGGGGAACATGCTATAGAAATTAACATAGTCTCAATAAATTGAGCACATAATGCCACTCCCCCAACGGAGCTTGACTCCAAAGATAAAAAATTGTAGGTATTTTCTCTTTTCTGTTTAAGTAAACTTTAAATACCAGAAGTTAAATAGTTGTAATAAAAATTACACTTGACTTAAAAGTAGAAGTCTTAGGTTAAAAGAACACTCTTCCATAGCAAATTATAGTCTTACTGGCAGCATATATAAATAGAATGAAAAACTATTTTCCAAGCAAGTACCCATCGAAAAAGAAAATCATTTACATAAAGACTGTGTAACTTACTATACTAGAATATTACACAATTACATAATTCTAAGAATACATTTACCCTTGTTTCTGAAGAATATTAATGTGAAAAAACATTTTGGCATTATGTGGTTCAATAATTACTTACCTGTTTCTTGTACAAAACCAACTTAATAGCTGCAGGGTTAGCTTATTTTTATGTATAGTCAGAATCAAAACTGAAAACTTTACAAAGCCTCAGTGAATCTCTTGGAAACATGGTATTTTATAATAAGGTAGTGATCCCACTCTAAAAGCAAGAATGTACATGTGGGATTCTTTATATAAAACTAAAAGATGAAGTGTTTTTTAAAAAGTTTAAGAAAAGTTAGTTCACATCTTGTTTTAAAAAACAACGTTAGAGACCTTTGAAAAGAACGTACTTTTAAGTATGTACTCAAGTTTTAGTATGAAAATCTGAAATCAAGCATATTGCATGATAGGCTATTTTTCACTTGAAAAGTAGTAAAATGGAAGATCTTATAATTGTGTTTCATATAATCCTTGAGGAGCCTTTACAAATTAATTATATGAAACTTTCATTAAAATAGCTACTAAAATTTCTTTAAAAATCTAATTCACTGTCATTTTAGATGATTTCTACATCCAGTAACTACTAAAATGCTTAAATATAATGAAGGTAAAAAACATGTCTTCCTTTTCCTTCCCTTCAACCCAAAATAAGAAGTCTTCAATACAAGTTTTAAAAATGTAGACTATACTACTAAAAATAAACTATTTTCTTTTTAATCAAAATACCAAGTATTTTTAGCTTTGTATAAATAACACACACACACGCACACACACACGAAAAACCCACCATATTTTATTTTAGGTATGTTATCTAAAGTGGAGTAGCAATATAACAAATGACAACAATGAACAACCCCTTATACTTAATTGAAAAGATGTATGCTCTCATTTTTCTTAAAGATGCACACTATGAATTTTCTACTGGCATTCTTGAATAAAATTAACAAGCATACTTTCTCACTTATTTACCTCATTTCCCCTCTAATAAAAGAAAATCTATGACTGCAATACAGAGTTCTGAAACCCCTCAAATATACAGTCTTTAGGAAAAAATTCTTAACCTGCTACACATCTTAATGAGCTATCCATTTTAAAAACAATCTATTTTATGGCTTAGGCTTGAATTTAATTCATGACCATAGATCCCAGGGATTAAAGAATCTTATTGGCAGTAAACAGCTCAAAGGATGACAATACTTCTTACATTCTTCATCTCAAAATTTTAAAAGAAAACTGTTCATAGTAGTCTTAGAGAAATCTGGAGACAGTTCTATTTAAAAAACACATTCACCACAAATACATACAAGGGAAACCATAAGAAAATAGATTTTATCTTTGTAAGCTTCTTTCATTTCAAAATGTATTCTTTAGGGTCAGGGAAATTTCATATACAAATAAAACTAGACATTTGTTCCCTTTACTTTGAAAAATATTTACAGTACATGGAACTATAAGCTAAAAGTATACACCTGCTTATAATGCTGGCCAGTGATATGAATGAACAAGGACACAAATGTACTTATTCAATTATCTGAACATCTTAGTTTGTATAGTGAAGTAATTATAGATAAAGTATGGAAAAATTAGAAAACAGTATTAATGAACACTAGCCCTCATGTGTGTAAAATATCACACAAGATGCCAAGGTATTATACATCCACTGTGGTAAAAACTGTACATACATATTCTGTGCATGTTTAACATTGCAAAATTTACATCATAATTTTTTCAGGTCTCAAAAAGCTGAACTGAAAAGTCCGTTTTTGTTTTGCCAGAGAAGAGTGACATTAACCGACAACGTTTAAGAAACTTCTCACAAAATTTCTTGCTAAGGACTTTTCATTAATATCTTTTACTGGTAGCCTCATGAAGAAAAACTTACTTAATAAACTTCGAAAGTTTTCAGCAGATATTTTCACATCTTTGCTGGCTAGCATCATGATTTACATAATAATGACGTATGTAATAATAGTCCACAGCAATGTGAAATAGAAAACTTTGTTCTATAAACCTTATACTTTGTAGTATAAACCTACTTTGGTCTTAGAATGAAGGTCTTTTCTTTTATTCAGCCATGTTATCCCTTATTTGATCCACTCGAAGAGCTAGATCCCTAAAGGAGGGGCGTTGATTTACATTATTGTTCCAGCATTCTGTCATGATCATATAAATCTGTAAAGGAGAAAATAGACCAAAATTACAGTGAACACTAAGGACCATCTTTAATTGGTGGAAGACATTAATTTTCAATACAGGGCATATGTCATAACTGTGCTTTGTTCCACAGTCATCTGATTATGCTGTTTATCTGGAAGCTCTGCAAATTAAATTTCAGAAAGTGAACTGAAGTCCTTGAGTAAAAAGAAAAAGAAAATGGATGATTATCATGGATTAAAAAATGGGTTACCTCATCTGGGCATCCATCTGGTCTTGGTAATCTTCCATTATTCTTCAACAGTTCTATCAAATGGAACACGATCATCTGTCCTTGTTTGTCATTGCCAATCATACGCATAAATTCCTAAAACAAATCCACTTTCAGTATTTTTTGTGCATCTAATTTGTAGTAAAATTCTTTTTCAATTTCCTCCAGTTAATGGGAAAAATTCAGTATATGTGTGCTTTTCTATGTTTTCAAACCTTTTCAAAACAGACTACTTTTAAGGATCAAAAACATAAGGCTGTTAAATATGGAACCTCTATAATTTCCATTTCCATAGCTGTAATAAACTCAACAAAAATCCCTTGAGAAGAGCCCAAAACACATGAACTGAAAACATATTTCCGTTGAGTTTTTTTGTTGTTTAAACACATCATATTACATTTCAATTGAAATTAAAAGTTAAATATAAAAGAGAATATAAGAAAAAAATGAATAAGCATAAATGCAACAGAGAAAACATTCATATGTCAAAAGTTTATAAAATTAAAGTCTGAATTATAAGCTAGGAAAATACTTAGATGTCATTTACTTATTTTCAATATAGAGAGTTCTTATAAATTGGTCAAAATTATAGACATAAAGATAGGCAAAGCACAGAAAAGATAATTCACACATATACATACTCACCCTAAACACCCAATAAATATATACTCAATCACATTAATAAGAGAAATGTAAATAAAAATATATATAACTTCTCCCCTATCAACTTGGCAAAACTGCATAAAAATATAATGACCAATACTGGCAAATGATGACATGTACATCCCTATGCATTGCTATTGAGATACAATCTGGTATAGCTTTTCTAAAAAGCATTTTGAAATTAAAAAAAATTTTTTTTTAAATAGTTAATAACTTTTATAGTTTTATCGTAAGTATTTATCCATAAGTATGTTCAATATGTTCACTGAAGGGTTACTTAAAAGACTGAAGAATGGAAAATGATTGTTCAGACAGATATACCCTTATGATGGAATGCTACTTGGCAATTAGAAATCATATTTGCAGTACATTTTTCTAATATTGTAAACTTTACCCATGCTGTAATACTTCATGAAACAGAAGAGCAAACTGGTATGACCTTAATTTTATAAAATAATATTTTTTTATATATAAAAGTGAAATTTTATAAAAGTTATAAAAATTTTATGTACCTTTTCTGTATATACTTTTATACACGAAATAAAAATAAGTCTGAAAGATAACATACCACATTAAGGTGGTCATCTCAGACTAATTACATTAGAGATGAGTTTTAGTTTTTCATACTTTTCTGTATTAAAAAAAATTATAAGATGACTAGGAGAAAAATTACTTTGGAAGGTTTATTTTCACTTATGCAGTAATTCCTAGAATGAACGAGCTTACTGAATTTAATAAAAATAATATTAAGAGAATATACTAACTAGTTTCTGAATACCCCCCTTTTTAAGTCTGGGGTCATTTTGTTGGATATTGCCTTAAAAGTAGCAATAAGAGCTTTAAAATGAGTCCTAGGCTTACTATTCTTTGGATAAATCTTTTCTCATGTTAAAAAAAAAAACTTTAATATATGTTCTTGTCGATTCTGTCAAAGATAAGTTGGCTACAAATATGTGGCTTTATTTCTGGGTTCTTTATTCTGTTCCACTGATCTATATGTTTGTTTTTATGTAAGTACCATGCTGCTTTGGTTACTTTAGCCTTATAGTGTAATTTGAAGTCAAGTAATGTGATGCTTCCAGCTTCGTTATTTTTGCTTAGAATCGCTTTTGCTATTTAGGATTTTTTCTAATTTTATGAAAAAAGGACATTGGTATTTTTATAGGAACTGCACTGAATCTGCAGACTGCTTTGGGCAGTATGGGAAAGGACACCCCCCTCCTTTTTTTGAGACAGAGTCTTCTTCGGTCACCCAGGCTGAAGTGCAGTGGTGCAATCTTGGCTCACTGCAACCTCTGCCTCCCAAGTTCAAGCAATTCTCCTGCCTCAGCCTCCCGAGTAGCTGGGACTACAGGCACCCACCATGATGCCTGGCTAATTTTTGTATTTTTAGTAGAGATGGGGTTTTACCATGTTGGCTGGGCTGGTTTTAAATTCCTGACCTTGTGATCCACCCACCTGGGCCTCCCAAAGTGCTGGGATTATAGGTGTGAGCCACCACGCCCAGCCAATGAATGGATACCCTTTTAACTAAGTGGTGCTGGTAAATTGGATTGTCATATGCAGAATGAAACTGGACCTATATTTCTCACCATATACAAAAATTAACTCAGGACAAATTACGGACTTAAATGTAAGATCTAAAACTCTAAAAATACTATGTGGAAATGATGTAGACAAAGAATTCATGGCAAAAACCTCAAAAGCATAGGCAACAAAACCAAAGACAGACAAATGAGACTTCATTAAACTAAAAACTTCTGCATAGCAAAAGAAATAACCAGAATGAACAGAAAAGCTGCAGAATAGGAGAAAATACTTGCAAACCTTGCATCTGACAAGGGACTACTCTCCAGAATTTATATAAGGAACTCAAAACAATTCAACCAAAAACCCCAATAATCCTGTTAAAAAGTGGGCAAAGGAGATGAATAGACATTTTCAAAAGAAGACACCCAAAAGGACAAGAGATATATAAAAAAATGTTCATCACTAATATCAAAGAAATGCAAATTAAAATCACAATGAGGTATGTCTTACTCCAGTCAGAATTACAAAAAAAGAGAAAAAAATAACCACAGAGAGATATGTCTTACTCCAGTCAGAATGAAAAGAAAAAGAAAAAATAACAGATATTGGCAAGGATGTGGAGAAAAGGGAACTTTTATACACTGTTGGAGAAATGCTGAATGTACTTTGTACCACCTCTGTTGAAAACATTATACACTATTGGAGAAATGCTGAATGTACTTTGTACAACCTCTGTGGAAAACATTATAAAGATTTCTCAAAGACCTAAAACTAAAACTAGTAGATCCAACAATCCCACCACCAAAGGAAAAGAAATCACTTCATCAAAAAGATACTTGCACTTTTTTGTTTATCACAGCATTCTTTACAAAAGCAAAGGTCCATCAGTGAATAACTGGATAAAGAAAATGTAATATACATACACAATGGAATACTATTCAGCCGTGAAAATGAATCTTGCCTTTTGCAGCAAGATGGATGGAGGTAATTATCTTAAGTGAAACACGTCAGTCACAGACAAATATTACATGTTCTTATAAGTGGGAGCTAAATAATGATACACATGGATGTAGAATGTGGAGTGACAGAGTGGAGTCTTGGAAGAGTGAGCAGTTGGCTGAGTAGATACTCAGAAGTTATTTAAGGGGTATAATGCATTGTATTAAGGTGGTGGATACCTAAAAGCTCTGACTTCATCACTATGCAATGCATGCATGTAGCAAAATTATACTTGTACCCCATAAATTTATACAAATCAAACAAACAAACAGAAAACTGAAAGTAAATAAAAATCCCACTGACCGCTGGTGGACTTTTACTCTTCTCAATGTATGTGAAAAGTTCATACAGAACTACTCCAAAGCTCCAAACATCTGAGGCCACAGAAAACTTGCTCTCTGTCAGTGATTCTGGAGCATACCTGTAATATAAGAACATTTAAAAGACAGTTACTTAATATATGGACTCTTGATTTTACCTGCAAATCAATGTATTAAAAAAACGAGGGGGTGGGTAGAGAAAAAAGTTAACACAGCAGGCCTGAGGCTTCCATGATTAGAAGGGCCTTTTTGCCTGGCACCTGTGAACTTAGATTTCAGGAGGGATTCCGCCGTTCCCTAAATAAGAGTGACTCACTATGCCTAGATTGTACGAACAATACAGTTTATGTTAACATCTGCTTTTCTTCTGGGAATCTGTAATTTTAGTATGTGCCAGACAGAGAGTGCCTATGTGACCAGTCCCAGTGAAAATCTTGCACAGTGAGTCTCTAATAAGCTTCCCTGATAGACAGTATTTCACACGTGTTGTTGCAATTCATTGCTAGGGGAATTAAATGTGTCCCACACAACTTCACTGGAATAGGCCCCTTGGAAGCTTGTGCTTCATTTCCTCCAGACTTTGTCCCATATGCCTTTCCCCTTGCTAACTTTGCTTTGTATTATTTCCCTATAATGAATCATAACTATGAATATGGATATATGGTGAGTCCTGTGAGTCTTCCCAGCAAATTGTCAACATTTGGGAACCTCTGATATAGAAAGATAACTAAAATCCAAATAAATTTATTTCTGTCTCTATAGACAATACCAGGGTTAACTGCAGAGTCCCTTCTAAGAAGTGAAAATAAGCTGTTCTTTGCAAGTTAAGATGCAAAGATGCATTTAAAGATGAATCCATATAAGTATCCTGGAGGAAAAAAAAAAATGGTTGCAATGATTTGATTATCCGTTTGACTTTTCCTAATGATGAGCCCTTATAGGGAAGGGACTATGGGTAGCAGACCTGTCGGTTAAATTTGCCTACCACATCAAACTTTTCCTTTAGTTCAGCCTTCCTACTAAGGGACAGTCCATCTTTTCTTATGCTAATCCTATCTTCATATCCCTAGGTCCCTATATAGTATTTGGAGCACTGTAGAGTATTAATAAATGTTTATTAACATATTAATTAAGTATATCCATATCTCTGGATCTTCATATAACTAGTATTTATTGACTGCCAGCTAATTTCATTTAACCTCTTTAATTGCTCATTCTGAAAATAATAAAAAGAAATTCATATATCACTGGGGATATGGCCAAAACAGATGATTATTTTTAGATGAGTCTTATTTTTTAGTTTAAATAATACCCTAAAAATAATTAGATGAAAGCAATTCTAATGATAATCAGGAAGACATTCCTCAAAAAGTACTTTTAATATTATGAAAAATGTCAAACTTACACAAATTAGACAACAATGAACAATCATGTACCTGTCACTCAGCTAAACTCGTTGCCCCTCTTGTTTCATGTATTACTCCACACCTCCACCCCAGTGAATTTATATAAAGTGAATCTCAAACATAATAGTATTTCAATTATAAATTACTTCAAGATGTATCTTTAAAAGATAAACACTCTTATTTAAAACACATTAATAATAGCATTATAAGTTACCCATCTGTGGAAATAATCCGTTCTAAATCATTGGTGCTTTCTTACCTATTTCCAGACTAATAATTTACAATCATTGGAATTAGTTGAAAAATTTTTACACATACAAAATAAAGATAGCTAGCACATGTAGATGATCCATGAACTTGGCAGCAGCAAACTGAATAATGTATATATTTCTAGTCATTCTGATGATCCACAGAAAAATATTTATAAACTGGCAGTTATATTATTTGTATCAGTAATTCTGATTTTCAAATTAAATATCAAGAATGTAAATAAAACATACTTAGCCAAAATAAAAACCCCTCTTTTAACACTAACATCTGACTCAAATAACATTGTCTTAATAGTATTTTAGCAAATGAATAAATCAGAATGAATGCCTATTAGAATGTATGTAAAACCGAAATATTTTAATATAATTCCACCAAATCATTCCTAGAAAGGAAAATGTACTGTAAATGAATGAAGGCGTTAAAAAGGAAATCTTCCATCAAAGCACAGATAAACAGAAACAACAGTATATTGCACATAAAAAAATTAGGTTTGAAGGCCGGGCGCGGTGGCTCACACCTGTAATCCCAGCACTTTGGGAGGCCGAGGTGGGTGGATCACGAGGTCAAGAGATTGAGACCATCCTGGTCAACAGGGTGAAACCCCGTCTCTACTAAAAATACAAAAAATTAGCTGGGCATGGTGGCACGTGCCTGTAATCCCAGCTACTAAGGAGGCTGAGGCAGGAGAATTGCCTGATCCCAGGAGGCAGAGGTTGCGGTGAGCTGAGATCGCACCATTGCACTCCAGCCTGGGTAACAAGAGCAAAACGCCGTCTCAAAAAAAAAAAAAAAATTAGATTTGAATGCTCCTCACAATTAATTCACATCAAAAATAACCTTTGGCTCCAAATTGCTGCAACAGATCAAAATATTCAATTAATGCCAGATTAAAGCATTATCATGTTTAGGAAGGCTTACAAGTGAACTCTGGGATCAGACTTTCTGGGTTTGAATCCTGGTTCAGTGATTTACTAGTCATGCCACCTTGGGTAAGCTATTCAGTTTTCCATACTTAAAATGGAGATAATAATCACACATGTTCTCCAAGGGTTATCAGGGTTAAATGAGATTATAAAATGCATTTAGCCCAATGTAAGCATAGAGTAAATGTTCACTGTTATCATAAATATAAATGACAAACTATTAATAACAATTAAGTTTGAAATCTGTGCTCTAAAATTTCAGTTATACTGAAATATACTCACCAGAATATGGGGCTTTCACCAGGTTCTTTTACTTTATAGTATTCTTTGTCTTGTGGCAAGACTTTGGTTAACCCAAAATCTCCAATTTTAACTCTGTTCTCATTCTCTACCAATATATTTCTTGTCGCCAGATCCCTGTGGATATACCTTTTTGTACCAAGATACTCCATACCCTATGGATAAAACATTTTTCCTTCAGTTAGTTTTATGAACATAAACAATTCAAATAGTCTTACCCCCCCATTCCCTTTATTATCTAAGAAAACGTCTAGATGATTTTCTAACAATTACTTCAACATGCTTGCTTCATCTACAGCAATCGATCAGGATATTAGGTACCTTGCAGATCTGAGATGTGTACTGCAGAAGTTTTTTGTGATCTATCCGTTCTTTATGTTTTTGAAGATAGTCTCGTAAACTTCCATATGGTAAATATTCCATAATTAATTTTAGATTTCGCCGACCTTTTAACATAAAGGTGGAAACAATGTTTTACTTTGCCATATTACACTGAAATGATAAATGACTTAAACATATATAAAATCTAAGATGACAAAACTTTATCATACATTAAAGGTGATAAAGTTGTTAAGAATATAAGCTTTCTGAATCAAAAACTTTTGAATAAAAACAAAAACAAAGTTTTGAATAAAAGCTTTAAAACTATTTGTGTTTGTTTTCTGTAACTCTTTAGGCAAACCAAAATAAACTGATGAGCCAATTTCCTTTCTCCTCATTTATATAAAACAAAAAACATCAAATTCAAAAATATTTTTATAGAAAATGTAAGCAAAAACAATTTCTTTAAAAATGATACACTCTTGGTAAACTTAAGAGGTGAAAAGAATGCCTAACTAGCCAAATACTTCCTATAGTTATGTCCATAATAACCAAACACAATCTCCAGTCATTATAGAATGTTTCTCCCTCTGGGCATTGGCATAAGTCCAGATTGTTAGACACTGTACGTTTCTGTTTCACAGGATGCCAAAGGCATACCTTGAATTTTTTTTCTGTCGCCAGGTTGGAGTGCAGTGGCACAATCTCGGCTCACTGCAACTTCCACCTCCCGGGTTCAAGCGATTCTCCTGCTGCAGCCTCCCTAGTAGCTGGGACTACAGATACATGCCACCATGCCCAGCTATTTTTTTGTATTTTGAGTAGACCGCGTTTCACCAAGTTGGCCAGGATGGTCTCAATCTCCTGACCTCATGATCTGCCCGCCACAGCCTCCCAAAGTGCTACAATTATAGGCCTGAGCCACTGTGCCTGGCCCATACCTTGAATTTAAAATAGGTTTCAATGGTCAACTTACCAGCACTGTAGCACACTCCCTTGTACTTTACAATGTTGTCATGCTGCAGTGATTTCAAGATTTCAATTTCCCTTTCAAAGTCTCTCAGGTGCTCTTCAGTACTATGCTGAAGCTTTTTTACAGCCACCACCTCCCCAGTGTTGTCCTGTAGAGGGTCATATCGGCACATCTCCACACTCCCAAAATTACCCTAAATTACATGTCACATTAGGATGGAAATAACAAGTTTTCAAGGCTAATTACAAATAAATTATATAGAAAATTCTAGTAGCTAGAATTAGTAGACACATCTTTAACTCTTAGAACAAGATAAGAAAATACTATCTCAACTGGTGGGTAGTAAACCTATATATTTAATTTCTTCAGGAGGAATTACAAGCTGAAATATAAATTACTTCAAAAACCCATTTAAATAAATGATGAACATTAATTATCAAGATAAGCCAAGGGACATGCTGAGGAATTCCTAAACTCTTGTCACTAACTCCAGAAAGGATTTTCCTCTTCTGCAAAATATCTTGATATCACTTTCAGTGATACTGACGGGTTAAATGTCTGTGACCACCCCCCACTAAAAAAAATTCATATGATGAATTTGGAGACTGTATTTGTAGATAGGGCCTTGTGAGGAGGTGATAGAAGTCAAATGAGGTTATAAGGGTGGAATCCTAATGTGACAAGGCTAGTGCCCTTATAAGAAGAGGAAGAGACATTAGAGCAATAACTCTCTCCCATGTGAGGACACAGCAAGAAGATGGCCATCTGCACACCAAGAGGAGAGCCCTCACCAGAAACCAACCCCTGCCAGTACTTTGATCTCAGAATTTCCAGGCTCTAGAATTGAGAGAAATAAATGTCTGATGTTTAAGCTACCCAGTCTATGGTATTTTGTTAATAGCAGCCCAAGCAGATTAAGAAGAAACTTTTAGTCTATGGATGGCCTTACTTTTGTTTTTAAAGATATCTTTAAAGAAATCCATTTTTTTTTTTACCTAAGACTCATTAACTACATAGAATTGGCAAGCTGCAATAACTTAAATTAAGTATAGGTTTTTGGTATCAATCAAATTAGTTTATTTGGATATTACTGCATTCTTAAAGGATAAAACAATGTAGTTATTGAAATACAAGATTCTAAGTCATTATATCTTCAATTATATACTTGAAGTCAATTAAAAAAAAAAAAACCTAGACCATATGTAGGCTCAAAGTTAAATCTGTACACAGTTTAAAAGGCCACACAACAAAGTGAGTAGACCCAGGACTCTCAAGTCAGATGGGAATTATCTTGATGTACAACTTGCTCTCTCTCTGACCTTGGACAATTTACATCTCCCTAACAGGTTTTTTCCCTTCCTTAAAGTGGAGTATAATAAAATGTCTGTCTCATATGGCTGTTGTGAGAAATTATTCCAAAACATATTTTAAAAACCAAAAGTAGGAGGAGTAAGAGTTTTATCTTCTTTTCCTCTACTATACAATGTATCCATAAAATTTATTTTCCAGTGCCACTATATATTCCTTGAAATTAATGATTTTTAACAGTGGCATATTATCACACAAATGCACAAATTTTTTAACATTGGAAACAAATGTACACTAAGAAAAAATTTTAAATTAATACAGTCATGTCATTGCAATATTCTTTAAATAAATACTTGTGTACATCTCTATTAAGAATACGTTAACAATTAGCTGTTCAAAAGATACAAACATTTCAAAGGCCCTTGACACACACTGCATTAGAAGCTCTCTTGAAGTAGTTATACTATTTGATGTTCCAATAAACAGTGGGAAAATGTGTATTTTATCACATCCCTGCTGACAATGGTCATTATACTTTTTCTAAATCTTTGTCACTTTGATAGGCAAAAATCAGTCTCCCTTTTAATTTGGAATGCCTCTATTTTTCTTATGGAAGAAGAGCATGAAGAAAATTACTGGTAACAAAAAGCAGGATTTAGGATAGGAAACCAGAAGGGTTTGAGATAGGACCAGAGAAATCAAGAGAGTAAAAGAACTTCCAGTGATATGGTTTGGCAGTGTCCTCACCCAAATATCACCTTGAATTATAATCCCCACAATCTCCATGTGTCATCAGAGGGACCCAGTGTGAGGCAGTTGAATCATGGGGGTGGTTTCCTCCAGGCTGTTTTTGTAATCCTGAGTGTGTTCTCATGAGATCTGATGGTTTTATAAGCATGGCATTTCCCGTTCTGGCACTCATTCTCTCTCCTGTTGCCCTGTGAAGAGGTGCCTTCTGCCATGATTGTAAGTTTCCTGAGGCCTCCCAAGCCATGGGTAACTGTGAGTCAATTAAACCTCTTTCCTTTATAAATTATCTAGTCTCAGGTATGTCTTTATTAGCAGCATCAGAGCAGACTAATAAAACCAGTAAGGCTAAAGTGCCTAACTAATGTTGGTTACATTGATATAGAAACATATACTATAATTCACTGTGTTACTGTTTAACTTAGGGGTACTTTCTGAATAATACTAAAGAAATTCCCAGTTAAGTACTGAATAACAACACTGTTGCATCCTGTTGCATTTTTTTAAATAATTAAATCTATAACCAAACACATTAATGGAATTTTGTGTGAAAGGAAACTTGTAATTATGTTTTTCTATCCCAAAAATCAATATATAAACAATTCACAAACATACGTAAGTATAATGTTGACACTGTTTCCAATCCACATCTTACAAAACTCTTAGACATCATAATGAGTGTGAAGTTTAAATACAGTATATATTTATCATACTGTTCTATAATTAGTTGGCTTCTATCCACCTCTACTAAGTTGTAAGCTCTTCAGAGCCAGTGACTATAACCCATATCTGTAGTGACCAACAGAGTACCTGGCATTTAGTAGGGACTCAAATATTTGTGTAATATTAAAATGACATGCTTTCAGAGAAATAAACTAAAATTGTGAAAGTAATTCAGATCCTTCCAAGGATGTCTGGTTTCTAGAATGGTTTTTAGATTTTCATCCACTGGTTTTTAAAGTTCTGACTCTTAATAGCTACAGATGGTTTTTCATTTTGGATTTTGGAATTCAAAACACTGGCTTTCTTCTTTTCTTTCTATAGTTATTAAGAAAGAGCTGGGAAATAAAAATTGTATACATTTAAGTGTATAATGTGATTACTGGATATATGCATACATTATGAAATGATTACTACAGTCAAGCTAATTAACACAGAAAACGTCTTAATCTTACCATTATTCATATATTCATGTTTGTATTAAAAGTTGAGAAAAGAAGTGATCCAAGATGGCTGAATAGGAATAGCTCTAGAGTGCATTTCCCAGCAAGAACAACCCAGAGGGTGAGTGCTCACCACATTTCCAAACAAGTTTTCACTGCCCACAGACCAGGAGATTCCTGGGCTGAAAAGCACCACGAGTTTTCAGCAGGGCTGGTGCTGTGGTACTGCGGGTAGGCGCACAGGAACTCACACAAATGTGGGCAGCCATTTCAATTGGCACCTGGAATGCCTGGAAGACAGAGCTGCCCATTCAACTGAAAGAAAGGGGGAGGAGACAGGGAGCCAGGCAATCTGGCTCGACAAGTAAGACCCCCATAAAACAAGCAATCTGAAATGCTCTGGATTGAGAGTTTCCCAGCAAGCGCAGCTGGACTGGAACAGTCCAGCTCAGTGGGGGGAAGGGCATCCACCACTACTGATGCAGTCCACTAATACTAAAGCACTTCACACAGCAGCTGGGCAGAGTCTGTGGCAACTCAGCAACACCTCTACTGGCAGACTGTGACTACTCTGTGTGGGGCAGGGCATCTCTGAAAAAAGGCAGCAGCACGTCAGGAACTTATAAACAAAGCCAACATTCCTAGGTCAGAGCACCTGGGAAAAGACACAGTTATAAGTTCCACTGCAGCAGACTTGAAGGTACTGGCCCAGCAGCTCTGCACAGAACAATGGAGATCCCAGCACAGTACTTGAGCTCCTATAAGGGACAGACTGTCTCCTCAAGTAGCTCCCTGACCCTTGTATACCCAAAGAGACATCTCATAAAGGAGAGCTCAGGCCAACACCTGGTAGCTACCCTTCTGGTACAAAGATAACAGAGTAAGAAACTAGCAGCAACCCTTACTGTTCTGCAGCCACTGCCGGTGATCCCCAGGCAAGCAGGGTCAGGAGTGGACCTCCAGCAGTCCTGCAGCAGAGGGGTGTGACTATTAGAAGGAAAAGTAAGAAGCAGAAAGAAATAGCTTCAACATCAACAAAAAGGACGTCCACTCAGAGACCCTATCCGAAAGTCACCACTACAAAGACCACAGGTAGATAAAGCCACTGAGATGGGAAGAAACCAGCACAAAAAGGAGGAAAACACCAAAACCAGAATGCCTCTCCTCCTCCAAGGGATTACAACTCCTCACCAGCTAAGGATCAAAGATGGATGAAGAATGAATCTGATGAATTGACAGAAACAGGCTTCAGAAGGTGGGTAATAAACTTCTCTAAGCTAAAAGAACATGTGCTAACCCAATGCAAAGAAACTAACAACCTAGAAAAAATGTTAAATGAGATGCTAACTAGAATAAACAGCTTAGAGAAGAATATAAATGACTTCATGGAGCTGAAAAACACAGCACGAGAACTTCTCAAAGCATACACAAGATTCAATAGCCAAATAGACCAAGCAGAAGAAAGCATATCAGAGATTGAAGATCAACTCAATGAAATAAAACAAGGCAGCAAGAATAGAGAAAAAAGAGCAAAAAGAAATAAAGTGTCCCAGAAATATGGGATTATGTTAAAAAACCTAATCTACATTTGATAAGTGTACCTGAATGTGATGGAGAGAATGAATCCAAGCTGGAAACACTCTTCAGGATATTATCCAGGAAAACTTCTCCAACCTAGCAAGGCAGGCCAATATTCAAGTCCAGGAAATATAGAGACCACCACAAAGATATTCCTCAAGAATAGCAACCCCAAGGCACATAATCGTCAGATTCACCAGCATTGAAAAGAAGAAAAAAATACTAAGGACAGCAAGAGAGAAAGGTTGGGTTACCCACAAAGGGAAGCCCATCAGACTCACAGAGGATCTCAGCAGAAACCCTACAAGCCAGAAGAGAGAGGGGGCCAATATTCAACATCCTTAAAGAAAAGAACTTTCAACCTAGAATTTCATATCCAGCCAAACTAAGCTTCATA